TCCCTGCAGCCCAGAGCTGAGCCCTGACTTCTCCGTGCTGTTTCTGGAGATGCTTCTGCAGACAAAGGAGTTGGAGCCGGAACAGTTGCCTCCAGGTACTGAGATGCCCCTGCCTTGGGGCTCGAGGCGCTGGTGTTTGTGCTCCGTGGGTGCAGAGTCTCTGCCCTTGTGAGCGCGTTGCCGAGGACTTTTTCTGCAGCTCAGCTGTGCCTGGAGGCTGGCTTGAGGCACCCATCTGCTGCTGTAGACGTGCCTGCAGCAGCTTCTGGCATCACGGTGGCCGAGGGGGGCTTCCCAGGATGGTCCCTGCAGGGAGAGGGACTCAGTGCTCCAAGGGATTACCCACGGGGAGCTGGGACTTGGGCTCACCCTGCTTCAACACTCTGTCTCTTACAGCCTTGCCTCCAAAACCACCTAAGCCAAAGCCCAGTGCTGCCAGCTTGGCCAACGGGAACAGCATGCCCTTGCAGGACGCCGAGTGGTACTGGGGTGACATTTCTCGGTAAGGGGGTGGCTGGCAGCTCACGTCCTGGGTGCCCTGTCCATCAAGTGGCCTCAAGTTGTGTCAGGGGAAGTTTAGATTGGATATTGGGAAAAATGTCTTCACGGAAAGAGCAGGCGAGCATTGGAACAGACTGCCCAGAGAGGTGGGGGAGTCCCCATCCCTGGAGGTGTTCAAAAAACGGGCAGAGGTGGCACTTTGGGACATGGTTTAGTGGGCACGGGGGTGTTGGGTTGATGGTTGGACTGATGACCTTAGAGGTCCTTTCCAACCTTAGTGATTCCTAGTTTTTAATTTACTTTCATTAAAAATAATCCAGCCACCAAGCCAGGAAACATGAAATTCATTATTCCTCTCCCCTTAATTGGTTTAGTGGTGGACTTGGTAGTGTTAGGTTAACAGTTGGACTGGATGGTCTTAAAGGTCTTTTCCAACCTCAACAATTCTGTGATTCTGATTCTAAGTTATCTAAGGGAGCTCTGGTTGCACCTCACAGGCCATGACAATCATGTTCCTTGCAGGGAGGAGGTGAACGAGAAGCTACGGGACACTCCAGATGGTACTTTCTTGGTGCGCGATGCCTCCAGCAAGATCCAAGGGGAGTACACACTCACGCTCAGGTAGGGCGCTGGGGTCCCCCGAGAGCCCCCGCTGCTCTGGTCTGGAGCTGCCGGCACCAGTGACTGCGGCTGCCCGCACGCCCAGACGTCAGGCTGGTGTAGGGTGCTGGGGTGGTGGTAAGTGCCCTCTCTCCCCTCCCCGCTACAGGAAGGGAGGCAATAACAAGCTGATCAAGATCTTTCACCGGGATGGGAAGTACGGCTTCTCGGAGCCCCTGACTTTTGGCTCAGTGGTGGAGCTCATCACCCATTACCGGCACGAGTCGCTTGCCCAGTACAACGCCAAGCTGGACACCAGGCTGCTCTACCCCATCTCCAAGTACCAGCAGGTGAGGCCTGTGCCACAGGGATGCGGCTGGCTGGCACAGCCTGAACCGGGGGCATTTGCTCGTCCATCCCCAGCCCTTTGGTAGATGTCAATGTCCCACCCCTTCCCCCGTGCTGGGACACTGCTTTGTGGG